CTTAGCATCTGTACAACCCCAGATTCCATACCCAGTTACAAAAGTGCTCTCAGGTGCGGAGTTCTGACTCTGAGTCCTAAACTAACAACTGGAGAGTCCTGAGTGAGGCAGGGTCTAGGCTTGGCTAATGCAACGATTTGGTAGTATCTGCAACCCGCGCTCTTGTCCTTTCAGACTCACCTTTCCTCTGTCCCCAGCATGAGCCTCATGCAGAGGCAAGTGTCCTTTGTGGTTGACAGAAGAGCATCAGCCAAAACAGAGTGACTGCTTTCCTTGTGCACATCCAGTGACAAAGCCAAGGGACTTTAGTCCTTCCTGTCTGATTGAGCCAACTTCAGTCATGAGACTTCCCTGAACCATAATTCTCCCCTGAGGACTCCCCCTACTGGCTGTCCTAGTGCCTCAGGACCCAGAATAGGGATGTGGCCTACACCGCACAAAGGCAGGGAACAGGAAACGTGTGATAGTCCACTCATTCCACAGCTCTTGAGCCCTTCTAAGCACATCAAGGACATAAGAGAATCAGAGGATATTTTTATCCAAAGGAGAACCTTAAAGGAGAGAATATGGGGGATATCTGGGGGAAAGCTGTGTCACAAGGCCTATCCCCTTCTCTTATTTTTATTTTTATGTATTTGATACAGGGTCTTACCAAACAGCTTGGACTCTCAGTGATCCTCCTGTTTTCAGCCTCCCCAGCACTGGGATTACAGGCATGTACCAACAAGTCTAGTCTCCATAGCAAGCTCAGCAGGCCTGGGGGTGGGGCTGGCGCAGCATGTGGTGCCAGGGATCGAATCCGGATCCCTGCACTTGCTTAAGCAAGTGCTTAGTCCACTGAGCTATCTCATCAGCTATCCCATTCTCTTAAAGGGTAGAATGGAGGTGATAAGGCTGTGCCCTGCCTGCAGCCTTAGTGAGGGACTCCACAGGGTTCCTCTGAGAGCACAATACATGATCCTCACCTCTAAGCAGCACAGCACTGTGGGAGGCCATTAATTGGTATCCATTTTATAATAGTGTCAGCCATTTTCTTAAGTTTCTGTTCCCCTGCTGAGTTAAGTTTATGGTCCTTCTCACCTTGCCCATTCCCCGTGAATCACGTGCTATGCCCCAGGGGTTGCACCTTCCCCCGTTGCCTAGATACCTGCTGACCCCAAGAGCCCAGACTTCCTCATTCCTACACCCCCTATATATACCCAGCACCTCCCCTAAATAAATGAGACTTGATCAGAATCCTGTCTTGTCTTTGTTTTTTGCGTCTCCTGTCCTTTGTCCCCTCTTCAATTCCCCGCTCCTCCCCCAGGTGACCTTCGTTGACTGACCCACTGGTTTGGGACACAGCACTTGAATGGACGCCTGGAAATTTTAGAGGGCTTTCTATGATATCATCAAGCCACAAATGACCACCACATTTCTAAATAGAAAGATCATCATGCAGTCTTCTTCTTTTTTTTAATGTATTTGATACAAGGTGTTGCTGTGCAGCTCGGACACTAGTGATCATCCTGTCTCAGCCTCCCCAGTGCTGGGATTACAGACATGTACCACCACACCACCACGCCCTGTTTCGGTGGCTGGCAAGAGGCACCGAGAGCAGGGCCTACACAGCATATGGTGCCAGGGATCTAACCCAGGCTCTTGCGCTTGCTAGGCAGCCACTTAGCCTGCTGCACTATCTCCCTTGCCCCCAACCTGAAGCCTTCTCTTTACACTCCTGCACATGAAAGAGTTTAAACAATGCCTTCACCTGGCTTCGAAGGGAACAATGTCCTCCTGCCTCTACCTACTCAGTCTCCATCTCTTGTGGCTTGTTCATTCAACCTTCACAACTACTCCTTCTCAGGGGCCGGCCCATTAGCTCAGTTGTTTAAGTGCCTGCTTAAGCAAAGCAGTCAGGCTCAGGATACTGTGGTTCAATCCCCAGGTCCTCAAATCTTACCTGACCTGCCCTTAAGTCATCCTAAGGAAAAAAACAAAAAAAAACCCTACCCCTTTTCCATGCAGCCTTCCCTGATCACTTTGTTCAAAACCTTAACTGTCATAGCCTCTGCTTCTGTCCATATCTCATATAAAGAGCACGTTCACTTCTAAAATACCATTTACTTATTCATCTTATCATTCCTTCCCCCACAAAAATGCAGACCCTATGAAGACAAGGATTGTTTGTTCCTGGTTTGGGGAGTTTATTTTGTTTTTCTGGAAGGCCTAAGATGTAGTAGGTAAACAGTAAGTATTAGTCAAATGATGGCATGCTGGTGTTGTTCTTGATGGTTATACATTGCATGAGTCTTTTATAAGAAGAAAACATTCATTTATCCGTTCCACAAATCTGGATTCACAGCACACTATGATAGGGGTGGTCAGGAGTGAAGAGCCAACCTGGGCAGGTTACAAGGAGCTTAGACTGGTGATAGATAATCAGAATGGCAAGAGCACTGTTTGTGTGGTGGAAGAAAGGGCATGGGGCTACAAAGCAGAACATAAAAATGCTGGTCCTGTCTGAATGAAATAGAGGCCAGTGGAGAGAAAGCCTGTGGCAGCTTTCCTGTTGCTGAGACATGTACCCAACTTCACAATCCAAAGAAGAGGTTTAATTTGTGTGCTGGTTGATACATTGTTTAGAAATCTAAGTGACTCAGCAGGGAGCCGGGATTCTTAGTTTGTAAACATCCTCATCTTGTGCAAGAGGAGGTCGTGGACATTGTGTAACTTCTACAGCCCCACTCCAGGCTAGCCTACTTATAATGTAAGAAGCAGAGAAAGGCTTCCTAGTAGGAAAGCCTGCCCTCTGCCTTGGAGCTGGCCGAGTATGAACTGAAACTTCCACTATGAGCTAAAAAAACCTTTCCTTCAACTGAGACAATTTGGTTCATGGTGTCAGGGGATTCAGTCCAGGGTGGCTCCATGATGAAAAATAAATCCTGCTAGATGGGTGTTGGGGACAAAGCTGCCTAGTTTATGATAGCGAGGAAGGAGAGCAAGGAACAGCGCCAGAGAGGAAAAGGCCGGGACCAGACATAAACCCCAAGACCACATCTCTACGACCACACAGCAATGTGCTCCACCGATCGGCTTCACTGATCCCCAAGCCAAGCAAGTTGCCACTCCACCCTAACCCCCGCAAAAAGAAGGAAAGGAGAAAGAACACCACAGGAGAGTGGTATCCAGGTTTTGCATGAAGTGAATTTTTAAAATTTCGTTTGATACTGCCTCAGTCTGGTAAGAAAAGTGCAAGAGACATATTCTGCCTTACCTTCTGATAATTTCAAGGAAGTAGCTCCTGAGCTAAGAAAAATCAACACTTATTACATAGAGTAAGGGAAGGAAGTGTAGAGTGGTGTTGAGCAGGGAGTACTGTGTAAGCAAAGGTCCAGTCCACAGAGAGGGGGAATTGACAAACTGTACAACTCTGAGAGCAACGGGAAGGGGAAAGAGGGTGGAAAGAGAAAATGTGAGTGGAGGGGACAAGCTCCCCACGAACTCTAATCTTAGGGCTGCAGAGGTAGCGTGGCATTCTAAGCGCCTGCCTGGCAAGCGCAAGGACCCAAGTTCGATCCTTGGTACCACATGCCACGCTGGTCCCGGAACTGCAGGCACGCCGTGTCGCCCCAAACCTGGATATGGTGGCATACACCTATAATCCCAGCACTGGGGAGGCTGAGACAGGAGGATCACTAGAGTGTGAACTATATAGTGAGACCCTATATCAAATAAATAAATAAATAAATAAATAAATAAATAAATAAATATTTTTTATTTCTTTTTAAAAATATATTTAGTATAGGGTCTATAGGGTGTCACTATGTAAATCAGACTCATCATGATCCGTCCTGTTTTTCTGCCTCCCAAATGCTGGGATTACAGTCGCACGCCACCATGCCCACTGTCAATTGCCATCTCATCGCGTTCCGAGGACGGGGCCAGCACAGTAGGCCAGGGATCAAACCAGGGTCCCTGCGCCTGCTTAAGCAGGCACTTTAGTCTGCTGAGCTACCTGGTTGGCCCTAAATAAACATATTTTTTAAAAAAACTCTACTGTTACAGCTCAGCAGATCAAAGCACCTGCAAGCAGGCACAGGGGCCTGGGGTTCAATCCCCAGGCCTGCTGTGGTGGCCCCACCTCCAGGGCGCACTGAGACAGCAATTGACACTGGGCGTGGTGGTACACACCTGTATCCCAGCTCTTGGGAGGCTGTAAACAGGCAGATCACTAGGAGTCCAATCTAGTAGTGAGACCCTGAGCACCCTGTAGACCCTTCCCTAAAATAAAACAAAATTTTAAATAAAAAGAAATAAATAAAACTCCGTTATTCCTCCCTCCCCAGAATAGGAAGCCACAGGATTGCTTTCTTTCTGCTTTGCTTTTGTTTTCTTTGGTTGCATTTGCATTGCTGTGATATGCTCAGACTTATATTTTGAAAAGATTCCTAACACTGCTCTTGTGCAGAAAAGCCTGAAGAGGTACCTGAGCAGGTGTACAAAGGTCAGCCAGGGGACTGCAGCGCAGTCTGCAGGAGCAGTGCTGGGGACCTGCCTCACGGTAGTGGCAGCTAACTGGGGGAAGACAATGGGTTCAAGGGGTTTTGAGCCCTTAGAAAAAATACATGAAGAATTGTATTGACCAGGCACTCTCATTTTCTGTATTTCTGACACTCTGACATCAGAGATCATGCTGACTCTGAAGAGAGCTCTCCTCCCAGGGATAGCGAACCCGTAGATGCAGCGATAACTCTATAAACACACCTTTCCTAAGCAGTCAGTCAATCCAGAGCCCCCACTCCATCCACCTCTTCTAGGGGACGCTCACATTCAGGATCCCTATCCACTCACCCTGACTACCCCTGGGTCAGGAGCCAGAAGGTGAGAGACAACCCCTAGCCCCAGAGACTGCTGGTACACACCTGTGAGCTTAGCACCTAGGAGGCTGAGGCAGAAGAATCACAAGTTTGGAGCCAGACTGATACACATAACAAGATCCTGCCTTGAATGAACAACAACAAAAATACACTTTCCCTCAGTCATTCCTGTGTCCTGCGTCTTTCCATACCTGATTAAAGTAGATCCCAGGTACCCTACGTTACATTAAATAAGAACATTTTTGAAAAATAAAAAATATGCTCCATTTATTCTAATTAATATGAGGGAGGTGCATGATCGTAAAATTCAAACAAAAAAGCCGCTCTTCAGCATCCCCAGTGATGGCTTCTGCAACACAACTGTATCGGCCCTAAAGTGAGAGATCAGAAACAAAACAGAGTTAGATTTAACAATCTAGAAAATGTTATATGCTACTGCATTAAAGGCTTCATAAGGACTTTACCAGTAGAATGCCACTTAGATTGGATTGGTCATCATTTTCTTTTTTTTTTCTTTTTCTTTTTTTTTCATTTCATGTATTGGCTACATGGTCTCACTGCACAGCTCAGACTTTTAGTGACCCTCCTATTTTCAGCCTCCCCAGTGCTGGGATTACAAGCATGCACTACCATGCCCTGACTTGGTCGCTGGCTCCACACGCCCCAGGGGCAGGGCCAGCCTGGCATGGGGACTAGGGGTCAGCATTTTCTTATGGTGGTAGGGATCCAAGCAGGGCCTTGTGTATGCTAAGCAAGTGCTCTACTACCAAGCAAAAACTCCCAGCTGGATTAGTATTTTCTTAGTTTTCTAATAAGAAGAAATTGTCTATCCCTTTGAATTCAGTGAGCCTACAGTCTATTTATTTCCCAGTTATGAGGGATGTTTATAATTTTTTTTAAAAATAACCTACAAGGATTTCAAATATTAGATAACATTTATAACAAGAAGGTGTCTGCATTACTGAACTTTATTTTAAAATAGTCATTGAAAGTGAAATTTAATTGCTAAGCATGTGATGCAACATCCAGATTACAATGATATTTGCTGAGGAAGTAGTTGTTTTTACAAAGGCTTAAACATTCAAGCTGGATTTCCCAAAATTCACATTAAAAACAAACCTGTAAGTTATGTAATTTTTATTCTCCCAATTTTTATATTTATACATTACATGGATAGTTATAGGCTGACAAACAATGGTTACTGACTTACACAAAAAATGATTGCTGTTATGTCTCATGTTAAATGTCCCCCCATTGTCTCATAGGGGCATAAGTGAGGTTTTTTCAGAGGTGGCCGAATCTAGAATGTATGACTGATTCATGGTGCAATGGTGAGAGTAAGCGTATGTGATTACTAAATCAGTCTACTGATTGTTTTGGCACCATCCTAATCCTGGTGATCTTGAGAGAGTATAAAAGGGGCAGGAAAAAAATCTGCTAAGACCCCTTGCTTACTCTCACCTGCCTGCTTGCTGTGGACTAGTTTTCCTCTGCAATGGCCCTCTGCCATGCCACCCTGCCTTAGAGCCAGCTAATTATAAGCTGAACTCTCTACAAACTGTGGGGGCTGGGAAGATGGCTCAGTGGCTTAAGTGCCTGCCTGACAAGCATAACGTCCTGAGTTTGATTCCTGATTAAACAAAAATTACTTAAGCTTATCTACAAACTGTGAGCTAAATAAACCTTTCTTCTTTAACTTTGGGTGTTGAGTATTTTGTCTCAGCAACATGAAAAGTAACTAAGACAGTTATATGAAGAGCAACAGACTAATAATGAACATTCTTTTTAGCCATGTACATTGGAAAAAGAAAATGGAGTGAAAATGAGCTTTTGTATCTAGTGCTGAAGATCAAACCTAGCCTCAAGCATACTAGACAAATACCCTACCAATGAGCTACATCTGTATCCCTCCCCCCAAAAATAAAACTACCTTATGTATAATTTTTCCAAATTCTTTGGAAGTAATAAATGGGAATGGGGGGGGGGCTGGTGAGATAGCTCAGCAGACTAACCACCTGCTTAGGCAAGTGCAGGGACCAGGGGTTTAATTTCCGGCACCACATGCCACGCCAACCCTGTCCCTGGGTGTGCTGAGCTGGCCACCAAGACCAGGCATGGTGGCACACCCTGTAATCTCAGCTCTGGGGAGGCTGAAACAAGATGATCGCTATGAGTCCGAGCTGTGCAGTGAGATCCTATACCAAATACATTTAAAAAGAAGTAATAAATGCTTAAACCACAAAATTCTTGAACATCTTAATCTTGAATCACTATTTTTAGAAGGCATGAATTGTTTCAAATTCTTAACACTTCTATCACTGCAAAACCTTAAGAACATACAAAATAAATCTTGAACAATACCTTAGAAAATAGTATTCCCCTGTAGGAGAATGGTACTTTTGCATTCACAGTCTCTGCAAACAAGATGCAAAATGGGAAACGTTACTGATCATCATTAGGTGTTGTTTGGGGTTTTGGTAGTATGGAATGTCTTTACGGACTACACTTTCATGGGCAGAAGTTGTTCCAGACAGTACAGAGAAACAATGAAGCCTATCCCCTGGCTCCTCTTCTGTAGCTTTCTCTTTCCCCGGGATCCTTTTTCCCTACCAGCCTAGATCTCATCCCTAAGGCATGCAGACTCTTACAACCCACTGGTCCCAATAATGAATTAATGAAAATACATGCCACCCCAGGCTTCATATGTGCATACATAGCAGTAGATTTCAGCAATAATGTTCTATCTTTAGCTGGATATAATGAAGAATTTTCCTAAAGGTGGAAGAGATATTTCAGTGGAACCCAAGACACTGAAACTCCCTCCAGTCACAGTATTGAGAAGCTTCAGGATTCAGCTTCTATGTCAATGTAAAAATGTGAGCCTGGTCCTGCACAAGCCATGCAGCACAATCAGACATGCAGGAGCGATGACAAACTACTCTTCTAATCAGGCATTAGGAGATAGTAAACTTGAGGTGGGGTAGAGTGTGATAAGGTCAGAAATAAAAAAATATGTTTAATGTGAAGCAAAAAAAATATAATAACCTACAATCTTTTCAAAATACTATATCAAATGTAAAACAGTAATGGTTATTGTTCTTTGAACTGGCAATACTTCCAAAATTATACAGATTTAATGCTATCCTAATCAAAATACCAATAGCATATCTCACACAATTAGAGAAAACAACCCTCAAATTCATTTGAAACCAGAAGAGACCTAAAATAGCAAAATTAATTCCAACCAACAAAGGCAAGATGGGGGGGATGCATCACAATCTCTGACTTGAAATTATACTACAAAGCTACTATGGAGTCCCAGTCCTAGCCCAGGTCCGGTGAGTGTGCGGAGAGCTTCCTGCTACCCTGCGCC